AACTTGCTAATTAATCCCACGTTCCAGGGAGTGAATACTTGGAATATTTCCAGTTTTCCCTCCAGGGAATCACTAGACCCATTGTGGACTCCACCCCCACCCCACCCCCCACCTAACCCCACCCCCCACCCCACCCCCACCCCTGTGACCATGCCCAAGCCCTCAATGTGAAGGCAGCCAGGGGCTCTGGGAGCTGAGCAGGTTTAGATGAGGCCATGAGGGTGGAGCCCTGGGGTGGGATCAGCACCCTTAGAGAAGGCAGAAGGAACACCAGAGTTTCCCTGTGGCCATCAAGGACACAGCAAGGTGGCATAAGCGGTCTAGGACAGCACACACCCCAACCCGGATCTGCTAAAACCTTGACCCTGGATTCTCTAGCCTCCAGACATATGGGAAGCAACTGCTTGTCACCAGCCTGTGGGATTCCCTTGTGTCAGCCTGAGATGACCACAGAAGATCCCTAAGTGAAAGGAGCAATTGCTAAATATTTATGTGTCCCTCTGCCACCTGTCAGTGAGTACAGAATTTGGGACAGTGTTTTGGGACAAAGGTCAGGACAGGTAATAAAAGGTGTTCTCCTGCCCCCCAATAATCCAGGGAACTAGGGTCTCTGAGGCTTCCAGAGGGCACTCCAGTGGCCACAAAGTGAGTGAAGACAGGGGTGACTTCACAGCGGTGACTGGGCTGAGCTGGAGGAGCTGGACAGACAGAAGCAGAGAAGCAGACAGACAGATGGCGGCTGAGCAGCCAGCAGACCATTACCACCTTGAGTCAGAAAACTGAGGCCCCGCTTGAGAAATTCCCTCCTTCATTTCTTTCTTCCAACATTGAGCTGTATTTGTATTGTGGAAACTTCCAAAGCTGCAGAAAAGGTGGAAGAGCGGTATGATGACGGCTCACACTCCTTCACCTGGTCCAGGCAGCTGCGCCGGCTTGCCGGGGGCCTGGGCCACAATCTGGGTCATGAGGTGTCAGCTTCAGACATTTCAACCTGCTTTTTCCTGAGGACATTGACATTTTCCTACATAACCACAATGTCCGCATCCCACTCTACCAGTTCGGCTCCAATGCAGTTATGTAACACAATTCATTTTAAAAAATGTCTCAGGGCTAGGGATATAGTGCTACAGCAGAGCACTTGCCCAGCATTTGCAAGACCACAGGTTTGAGGTCTGGCAGCAAAAAAAATCTCAGGTCTCTCCCAAATATCCCCACCCACCACTGTGGATCTAGAATCCAGTCACTGACCAAGAATCAAGACTACAGACTGGGGAGATAGCTCAGTGGTATAAGCAGCTGCCTGGCAACTGGAAGGCCCTGAGTTCAATCCCTGGTACCAAAAAGTCACATCAAGAATCAAGACTGCAAAAAAAAAAAAAAAAAAGAATCAAGACTGCTAGGCTGGTGAGATGGCTCAGTGGTCTAAAGCACCTACTTAGAACAAGCT